GGGTTTTGCAGTCTGCTGATTGGCTCTTTGCTGGGTTCCTCCCCCCCAGGAGGGTCAGCACATAGTTTTTTTGTGGGTTTCCTCTAATCTACTAATAATCCCAAGTGCTCTGAGTGTCATTTTGTGCATTTTTCTATCTAGTATTGTACAGTCTGAGTGCTCGGGGGGGGTGGAAGGGTTAATAGAGGTGACATGGAGGGTGTCAAGGCTGCATGGAGGGTGTCCAGGCGGGTCTGGGTGCGTGCAGAACACGGAGCCCGCAGACAGAGTGCAGAGAGTCCCCCCCGCCAAGGTCACCGCCGTATCCATTTCATACTAAACATGGTCAACGCCAGAGCCGACCTCCGAGATCCCATCCCCCGGAATCCCTTCCCGGGATGACGTGAGGCCGATGTGGGGTGGAGGGGGGTGTGAGAGGGTGCAGGGTCTGACAATGACCCCCTTCTGGGTGATGGGCGGAGTCATTCCCGGATTCCCCAGATGCTAAAGCCACTCTCATTACTTCTACACACGGCTCCACCAATGAGAGGAAGACTCTGAGAACCCATCAGATCCCAATGGGGAGGAGTCTCCTGCTGGATCTCTATACTGACATGGACGGGGGATGGGTGAGGAACGTAAGGACCCCCCCCATCATTTGATTTTCGGGGTGTCTGTGAATTCAGTCCTCTGTAGGTCGATCATTCCCATCAAAGTGAAGGAATGATGCAGCAGGAGAGTCATGTTGGTGAAATGTCATTGCAGCAACTCAGAATGGCCCTCAGTAGTCTGTGTGGCCCCCACGTGCTTGTATGCATGCCTGGCAACATCGGGGGAGGGTCCTAATGAGACCACGGATGGTGTCCTGGGGGATTTCCTCCCAGATCTGGACCAGGACATCACTGAGCTCCTGGACAGTCTGAGGTGCAACCTGGGGGGCGTCGGATGGACCGAAACATGACATCCCAGAGGGGTTCTATTGGATTTAGGTCAGGTGAGTGTGGGGGCCATTCAGTGGTATCAATTCCTTCATCCTCCAGGAACTGCCTGCATACTCTCCCCACATGAGGCCCGGGCATTGTCTGCACCAGGAGGAACCCAGGACCCGCCGCACCAGGAGGACCCCGGGACCCACCGATCCAGGAGGAGCCCGAGACCCACCGCACCAGGAGGAACCCTGGACCCACTTCACCAGCTTAGGGTCTTGCAATGGGTCCAAGGATTTCATCCTGAGATCTAATGGCAGTCAGGGGGCCATTGTCTAGCCTGTAGAGGTCTGTGTGTCCCACCATGGATATGCCCCCCCAGACCATCACTGACCCACCACCAGAACGGTCATGCTGAACCATGTTACAGGCAGCAGAACGTTCTCCACGGCTTCTCCAGACCCTTCACGTGTCACATGTGCTCAGGGGGAACCTGCTCTCATCTGTGAAAAGCACAGGGTGCCAGTGGTGGACCTGCCAATTCTGGGGTTCAATGGCAAATGCCAATCCAGCTCTATGGTGCCGGGCAGTGAGCACAGGGCCCACTAGAGGACGTCGGGCCCTCAGGCCACCTTTATGAAGTCTGTTTCTGATTGGTCAGAGACATTCACACCAGTGGCCTGCTGGAGGTCATTTTGTAGGGCTCTGGCAGGGCTCCTCCTGTTCCTCCTCCACAAAGGAGCAGATACCGGTCCTGCTGATGGGTGAAGGACCTTCTATGGCCCTGTCCAGCCCTCCTAGAGGAACTGCTTGTCTCCTGGAATCTCCTCCATGCTCTTGTCTCCTGGAATCTCCTCCGTGCTCTTGTCTCCTGGAATCTCCTCCGTGCTCTTGTCTCCCGGAATCTCCTCCGTGCTCATGTCTCCCGGAACCTCCTCCTCCGTGCTCCTGTCTCCGGGAATCTCCTCCATGCTCTCGTCTCCCGGAACCTCCTCCGTGCTCTCGTCTCCCGGAACCTCCTCCGTGCTCTGGTCTCCCGGATCCTCCTCTGTGCTCTTGTCTCCTGGAATCTCCTCCGTGCTCTTGTCTCCCGGAATCTCCTCCGTGCTCATGTCTCCCGGTACCTCCTCCTCCGTGCTCCTGTCTCCGGGAATCTCCTCCGTGCTCTCGTCTCCTGGAATCTCCTCCGTGCTCTCGTCTCCCGGAACCTCCTCCGTGCTCTCGTCTCCCGGAATCTCCTCCGTGCTCTTGTCTCCTGGAACCTCCTCCGTGCTCTTGAGACTGTGCTGGGAGACACAGCAAACCTTCTGGCAATGGCAGGTATTGATGTGCCATCCTGGAGGAGTTGGACTGCCTGTGTGACCTCTGTAGGGTCCAGGTATGGCCTCATGCTACCAGTAGTGACACTGACCCGAGCCAAATGCAGAACCAGTGAGAGAGTCAGGGAAGATGAGGAGGGAAAAATGTCAGTGGCCTCCACCTGTAACACCATTCCTGTTTTGGGGGTTGTCTCATTGCTGCCCATCTAGTGCTCCTGTTGGTGATTTCATGAACACCAAAGCAGCTGAAACTGATTACCATCCCCCTCTGCGACTTCCCTGACCAGATCCATATCCCAGGAGAGAGAATGGACTTCATGCGACTCGTCCTGTCAGTTTTTGGAGCCGTGTATTACATTCAACCTGGAAGATGCCGTTCTCCATCCTCAATTCTGCACCAGAGGAGCTTGCACTCTAATACCCCCCCTCTCCTCCCCCCAGATGTTTATGGCGCTGACATAGTCTGTAGCAGGTGGTTGGGGTGTCGGTGTGCGGTTTGCACGCGGTTGGGCGGGGTGCACGTTGCAGTGCGGTTGGCACACAGGAAGTGTCTGTTTCCTGCTCCGGGGACAAGATGCCGAATCATTAACCCTCTCACTGCCGGTCCCTCTGTGCTAGAGACAACCCAAATGTCGGCCTACCAGCAGCTACAGGTCCCCACAAGGTACGCTGGGAGTTGTAGTACCTTGGCTAGAGAAGTCTTCATCACAGGTGCTGAGGCCCCTCCATTGTTTTGAGTGAAGGAAGTAAGACGCCCTTCCCCCTCCCCCCCCCCTCACTGCCAGCAGCATTTCAACATCGACTTTTTGCAATCAGAGACGACTACAAAGGTCACCATCAACAGGGAGGAATATTCCTCGAACGCAAAGCGTGTTTTATTCTATTGCCTGTACACTGCCATGTGTCTCTGCCCACCTTGGAGGCTGAGAATTACCTTCCTTCCCTCTTCATGCCTCAGCCAGGGTATGATTGACCATAACGATCCTCGTGGGCGGTGCCTGTAGCTATTGGACAATATCCAAGGTGGCAGAGGTAGACCCTGAGCCTCAGAATATACAAATGATGGATTTGTCCTGGTTCTATTATCTATAATGACCCTCATGGGCGGTGCCTGTAGTTATTGGGCAATATCCATGGTGGCAGAGTTGGACCCTGAGCCTCAGAACCTGGACTAATCCATCATTTGTATATTCTATTATCTATAATGACCCTCATGGGCGGTGCCTGTAGTTATTGGGCAATATCCATGGTGGCAGAGTTAGACCCTGAGCCTCAGAACCAGGACAAATCCATCATTTGTATATTTGAGGCTCAGGATCTATTGTCTATAATGACCCTCATGGGCGGTGCCTGTAGTTATTGGGCAGTATCCATGGTGGCAGAGTTAGACCCTGAGCCTCAGAACCAGGACAAATCCATCATTTGTATATCCTATTGTCTATAATGATCCTCATGGGCGGTGCCTGTAGTTATTGGGCAGTATCCATGGTGGCAGAGTTAGACCCTGAGCCTCAGAACCAGGACAAATCCATCATTTGTATATTCTGAGGCTCAGGATCTATTGTCTATAATGACCCTCATGGGCGGTGCCTGTAGTTATTGGGCAATATCCATGGTGGCAGAGTTAGACCCTGAGCCTCAGAACCTGGACTAATCCATCATTTGTATATTCTATTATCTATAATGACCCTCATGGGTGGTGCCTGTAGTTATTGGGCAATATCCATGGTGGCAGAGTTAGACCCTGAGCCTCAGAACCAGGACAAATCCATCATTTGTATATTCTGAGGCTCAGATCTATTGTCTATAATGACCCTCATGGGCGGTGCCTGTAGTTATTGGGCAATATCCATGGTGGCAGAGTTAGACCCTGAGCCTCAGAACCTGGACTAATCCATCATTTGTATATTCTATTATCTATAATGACCCTCATGGGTGGTGCCTGTAGTTATTGGGCAATATCCATGGTGGCAGAGTTAGACCCTGAGCCTCAGAACCAGGACAAATCCATCATTTGTATATCCTATTGTCTATAATGATCCTCATGGGCGGTGCCTGTAGCTCTTGGGCAGTATCCATGGTGTCAGTTAGATCAGGGTAGACCCCAAGCTTCAGAATATACAAATTTATGATTAATTTTTCCTGGTTCTATTGTCTCTAACAGGGGTCTCCAAACTGTGGCCCTCCAGCTGTTGAAGTACTACAAGTCCCACCATGCCTCTGCCTGTGGGAGTCTTGCCTGTGGTTGTCAGTCTGTCCTCATGAGACTTGCAGTTCAACACCTGTAGGGCCATAGTTTGGAGACCCCTGGTCTAATAATGATCCTCGTGGGTGGTACCTGTAGCTCTTGGGCTGTATCCATGGTGGCAGTTAGAGCAGGGTAGACCCCGAGCCTCAGAAAATACAAATTATGATGGATTTGTTCTGGTTTTGTTCATAATGATCCTTGTGGGCGGTGCCTGTAGCTCTTGGGCAGTATCCATGGTGGTAGAGGTAAACCCAAGCCTAAGAATATACAAATTATGGGTTTGATGTCTATAATGATCCTCGTGGGCGGTGCCTGTAGCTCGTGGGCTGTATCCATGGTGGCAGTTAGAGCAGGGTAGACTCAGAGTATACAAATTATGGATTTGTCCCGGTTATGTCTCCCTCCTGTGTCCACCCCTGGACATTTTGTTTTTACCCTCCTACACCCCACCATCCCCCGTATCTATTGCAGTTACCAGTTTTGGTGGTTCATGTTCTCCTTCTAACCTTCTCTTTTGTTTCATTCAAGGGACTTGAGTCACTCAGACTCCGATTCTTCTCTGCCATACATGAGCGAGCTGCGGCACAGCAAAATCCCCAGCGGGAAAGTGACCCAGAAGGCCCTGGAGGAGCTGCCAACCAGCAGCCAAACGCCCAATGGCGGCAACCGCCACCTGGAGCTATCTAACTTGGGCACCCTCCAACAGAGACTGTCCGAGAGCCCTCAGCTGGAGAAGAAGCTGATGGAGAAATCTGCCAGCTTAGGGGAGATCAGTATGGTTGGAACCGTCCAGTCCCACTCTGACTCGTCGAGGTCCCACAGCCCCAGCTCCACCGAGGCCGAAACGCCCTCCCCCGGCACAGAATCCAAACACAACCACAAGAGCACGCGCATCCCTCAGCTGGCGGGTAAAAAGAATCTAACGGAGGATGACAGCGGGTCAACCGGAGAAGAGAACGACCCAAGTTCCAGCAAGAAGAAGCTGACTCTCAACATCTTCAAGAAGCCAAAGAAATAACGGATGCGGTTTGTCCTTGAAGAGCAGAGGAACACAACAGGGTGGAGAGAGGTTTCCATTTGGCACGGTCACCCTCTCGGCTGGAAGATGGTAGAGGAAGCTATGGGGTGGAAGCCAGGACCTTCTATTGTCCTCCCCTTGCCCTACTAGAACCTTGCACGTACAATCAGTAAACAGATGGGGGTTCAGGCTGTTCAACCTCGGCTTCGTTTTTGGGGCTCCTGGCTGACCAACGATTCCCCCCCGCTTCGCCCTCAGTAAATCCTTGCTTTGCTATGCATGGCTTTCGGGAAGTCTTTGCTTCCTTCGCCAAAAAAAAAAGAGAAACCCCATACAAGGGCATTTGGTAGATTTGTACTCGGGACGTGGGTCATTGAGCTTTATTTTGTGGGGAATGGGCTGGAATGTCCTTTTATTTTATCTGTTTTATTTTTTCCGTATTCTTTGCTTTGGATGGGCATGCCTTTAAAACAAGAAAAGAATAAAAACAATAAAATACTATTTATTAACATGTCTGGTGATGCCGAATCATTGGTGGAAGGGTGGCTTCGTCCAAATGCTTTGCTAGATTGCGGTCTAGAAAATCTGCCATCTAGAGGTTCCCTTCAAATCAATCCAGAAGGCCCCTTCAGGTCAACCCCAGAAGGCCCCTTCAGGTCAACCCCAGAAGGCCCCCTTCAGGTCAACCCCAGAAGGCCCCCTTCAGGTCAACCCCAGAAGGCCCCCTTCAGGTCAACCCCAAGGCCCCCTTCAGGTCAACCCCAGAAAGGCCCCCTTCAGGTCAACCCCAGAAGGCCCCCTTCAGGTCAACCCCAGAAGGCCCCCTTCAGGTCAACCCCAGAAGGCCCCCTTCAGGTCAACCCCAGAAGGCCCCCTTCAGGTCAACCCCAGAAGGCCCCCTTCAGGTCAACCCCAGAAGGCCCCTTCAAATCAAACTGAAAACATTCAGAGGGCCCCTGTGATCATTTCCAGTTTGATTTGAAGGGGCCCTCTGGTAATGATCACAGGGGGCCTCTGAATGTTTTCAGAGGGCCTCTTCAAGTCATTCCGATAACATCCAGAGGGCCATAACAAATAACTCAGGAGGTAACATCCAGAGATGCTTCCTAGAGGTGACACCCCTACCCCTTTAGTCTTCTTGGGGTTTATTGACCTTGTGGAGAGAAGCTAGGGGCACAAGGTACCCAACAGAGATGGTTGGTGGCCCTATATTTTTCAGTAGCAGCCTATGGATGACAGTAGATCTTTTGAGGAATCTAGGGCCACCAACAGAAGTACCTTAAAGGATCTATAGTTATCGAGAGTCTGCTACCAACAGACTCTCAATGACTATAGATCCTTTTATGTACCTCCCCTTTTTTTTTTTTTTTTAATCCCTAGATTCTTCATTAGTAGCCTCCCAATGGCAAAAGATCCTTTATATACAGTATCTCTGTTGGTGGACCTATGTCTCTGGGAGGCTACTAATTAAGAATTTAGGTCCACCAAACTTGAAAGATCCTTTAGATACCTCTAGTGGTGGACCTAGATTCTTCAATAGCAGCCTCTCGATGACTAACAGAGGTACATAAAGGATCTATAGTCTTCGAAAGGCTGCAACTGAGGAATTTAGGGCCACCAACAGAAGTACCTTAATGGATCTATAGTCATTGAGAGGCTGCAACTGAGGAATCTAGGGCCACCAACAGAAGTACCTTAGTCGCAACCTCTCAAAGACTATAGATCCTTTTATATACCTCTGTTGGGGGCCCTAGATTCCTCAGTTGCAGCCTCTCAATGATTATAGATCCTTTGAGGAATCTAGGACCACCAACAGAAGTACCTTAAAGGATCTATAATCATTGAGAGGCTGCAACTGAGGAATCTAGGGCCCCCAACAGAGGTATATAAAAGGATCTATAGTCTTTGAGAGGTTGCGACTAAGGTACTTCTGTTGGTGGCCCTAGATTCCTCAGTCACAGCCTCTCAATGACTATAGATCCATTAAGGAATCTTGGGCCACCAACAGAAGTACCTTTTAAAGGATCTATAGTCATCGAGAGTCTATTGGTAGCCCTAGATTCCTCAGTAGCAGCCTCTCGATGACTATAGATCCTTTATGTACCTCTGTTAGTAGTCATCGAGAGGCTGCTATTGAAGAATCTAGGTCCACCACCAGAGATGGTCAGTGAGAGGCTCTCAATGATTAGATTCCTTAATTAGTAGCCTCCCAAACACTAAAGATCCTTTAGGTACCTCTGCTGGTGGCCCTTGATTCTTCATTAGCAGCCTCCCGATGACAATAGATCCTTTATGTACCTCTGTTGGTAGCTATAGATTCCTCAGTAGCAGCCTCTTGATGACTATAGATCCAGCACAGTTACATAAAGGATCTATTGGCATCGAGAGGCTGCTACTGAAGAATCTAGGTCCACCACCAGAGGTACATAAAGGATCTTTGGTGGTGGACCTAAATTCTTAATTAGTAGCCTCCCAAACACTAGAGATAGTGAGAGGCTTTCGAAGATTAGATTCCTTATGTACTGGTTTGTGTTGGCCCTAGATTCTTCAGTAGCAGTCCCTCGATGATTATAGATCCTTTATGTACCTTTTTAGTTAGCGCTAGATTCTTCATTAGTAGCCTCCCAATGGCCAAAGATCCTTCATATATCTCTGTTGTGGAATGTAAATTTCTCATTAGTAGCCTCCCAGAGATATATGAAGGTTCTTTGGCCATTGGGAGGCTACTAATGAAGAATCTAAGGGCCAACACAAACCGGTACATTAGGAATCTAATCTTCGAAAGCCTCTCACTGACCATCTCTGGTGGTGGACCTAAATTCTTATGTACCCGGTTTGTGTTGGCCTTAGATTCTTCATTAGTAGCCTCCCAATGGCCAAAGAACCTTCATATATCATGGAATGTAAATTTCTCATTAGTAGCCTCCCAGAGATATATGAAGGTTCTTTGGCCATGGGAGGCTACTAATAATCTAGGGCCAACACAAACCGGTACATTAGGAATCTAATCTTCGAAAGCCTCTCACTGAATCTCTGGAGACCTAAATTCTTATGTACCGGTTTGTGTTGGCCTTAGATTCTTCATTAGTAGCCTCCCAATGCCAAAGAACCTCATATATCTCTGGGAGGCTACTAATGAGAAATTTACATTCCACAACAGAGATATATGAAGGATCTTTGGCCATCGGGAGGCTACTAATGAAGAATCTAGGGCTAACTAAAAAAAAGGTACATAAAGGATCTATAATCACCGAGGGACTGCTACTGAAGAATCTAGGACCACCAACAGAAGTACTTAAAGAATCTCTCATCATTAGTAGGTAGCTACTGAGGAATCTTGGACCACCACCAGAGGTACCTAAAGCATCTATAGTGTTATGGAGGTTACTAAAGAAGAATTTATGTCCACCAACAAACACTATAGATCCTATTGGGTACCTCTGGTGGTGGCTTTAGATTCTTCATTAGCAGGCCTTCAATAGGAAGTGTTCCTCTGACCCCCTGTACCATAATGCGCTGAGTAATGAGGCAGACAAGGCGTCTGTCCATCCAGCAGAAGGTTCTGGGTGCTCTCACACATAGCCGTCTCCTCTGAAGATGCTTCAACAGGCGGCCATCTTCCACATTCTCAGGTCTTAATGCATGTCAGCCTAAATGACTTGCTATAGCTTGTGCCCGTGACTGAGGCCAGGCCCCAATAAGTGACCTCTTCTCCAGGACTGGGAGGAAAGACATTTCTAGAAGGTTGCTCCGAATATTTGTTTTCCTCTCATCTCCGTTCACACCACTGGAATCAAATCCTCCGTGATTGTCCAAGACATAAATGTTCCGACTTCTCGTAACTTCTCACCGTGGAGACGTAGAAACTGCTGAAGAAGAATTCATCAAAGCCCTGAGCTCAGGAGAAACCCAGCAAACCCGGAACTTGGAAACAAAACTCAGACTAGAGCCAACACTGCATGTAACCAGAGGACCCATGTTTGTAAAACCAGGCGATGGTCACCATGTTATTGGCTGTGCAATGGGCACATGATGGTCACCATGTTATTGGCTGTGCGATGGGCACATGATGGTCACCATGTTATTGGCTGTGCGATGGGCACATGATGGTCACCATGTTATTGGCTGAGCAATGGTCACATGATGGTCACCATGTTATTGGCTGAGTGATGGTCACATGATGGTCACCATGTTATTGGCTGTGCGATGGTCACATGATGGTCACCATGTTATTGGCTGTGCGATGGGCACATGATGGTCACCATGTTATTGGCTGAGCGATGGTCACCATGTTATTGGCTGAGCGATGGTCACATGATGGTCACCATGTTATTGGCTGTGCGATGGTCACATGATGGTCACCATGTTATTGGCTGTGCGATGGTCACATGATGGTCACCATGTTATTGGCTGAGCGATGGTCACATGTTATTGGCTGAGCGATGGTCACATGATGGTCACCATGTTATTGCTGAGCGATGGTCACATGATGGTCACCATGTTATTGGCTGTGCCATGGTCACATGATGGTCACCATGTTTATTGGCTGTGCGATGGTCACATGATGGTCACCATGTTATTGGCTGTGCCATGGTCACATGATGGTCACCATGTTATTGGCTGTGCCATGGTCACATGATGGTCACCATGTTATTGGCTGTGCCATGGTCACATGATGGTCACCATGTTATTGGCTGTGCGATGGGCACATGATGGTCACCATGTTATTGGCTGTGCGATGGGCACATGATGGTCACCATGTTATTGGCTGTGCGATGGGCACATGATGGTCACCATGTTATTGGCTGTGCGATGGTCACATGATGGTCACCATGTTATTGGCTGTGCGATGGGCACATGATGGTCACCATGTTATTGGCTGTGCGATGGGCACATGATGGTCACCATGTTATTGGCTGTGCGATGGGCACATGATGGTCACCATGTTATTGGCTGTGCGATGGGCACATGATGGTCACCATGTTATTGGCTGAGCGATG